AAGAACCTCTTCCTCGTCATCTTCCAGGTAAGCCAGCTTCGAGATGGGGTGTGAAAGGAGCCCATTCCCTGAGTTTGAGAAGTTGCAGTTTTTATTCACATAAATAGTTAATACAGAACTTTGCAAAAGAGTACTGTCACCACTTGGAGGCCACAGTGAATCTGTGCTGTTTGCTTACTATTTAAATACCTTTGTTGTTTATTCCTTCTGGCTGATGGTTTAGGTGACTGCTTTAGTTCCTGTGAACATTTTTGTACATAGATTGTTACTAACATGTTGCTTTTTTAAGGACAGAGGTCAGGACATATTTCTACAAGATGCTAAAGGATTTAACATTAAATCTCTCCCTTGCTAAGTTGACAGTTTGGGGGAGCCCTGAATGCCAGGGGTACACAGCAGTCTGGGGGAGCAACAAGACCACTGAGAGCGCTTGGTCTAGATTCGTCCTGCAGTCAGATTCTCCTAACGCTGCCTGTTCTTCCTGTCCGTCCTTTGCAGCGTTTCATCATGATCCTGACGGAGCACCTGGTGCGGTGTGAGACGGATGGGACCAGCATCCTGACCCCATGGTACAAGAACTGCATAGAGAGGCTGCAGCAGATCTTCCTGCAGGTGAGGGGCCTTGAGCAACAGTAAACACCACTGTCTCATGGGCTTTTCAGTTTAAAAATCTCTCAGTAATCTAGGTGGTAAAACACCTATCCTGTCATGCATGAGATCACAAATTTTGACCCCTACCACTGTTTTAAAAAAAAAAAGTTCTCATAAAGTGTACTCTTACAGGCCCTTTACCTCATCTCCATTTGCTGCCTACTTTTCATCAGAGTATTTAGACAAATTGGTTTTATATCACTCACGCTCTGGGTTGCCATTTTCTGTGGTAGGGAGCCCAGCACAGCTGTAATCTAAAATGAAGGAGGTGGGCGGGGAAACCACTAACTGTTGGTGTTGTGATTGGATTTATAAAGGTATTTTTTAAGTCTTAAATTCCAGTGGTAAATCATGGGGTTTCTGGGGTTTGTGGGCACAGAGCACCAACACCTGCTTCCAGATGTGGTTACAAATTAAGCTTCCAAATAATAATCCCCCCCCCCCCCCCCCCGTTTGTAGTTATTAGTTCCAAAGGTAACTGAGAAGCCCCTAGTTCTATAGAACTTTCTAAGTGTATTTTAGTCTTCAGAGAGAATTGATGCCTTGGCTCCCTAGTCAGGCTGATTTGCAGAAAGCTTGATGATGAATTGTGTCCTGACTTTCGGGATGCCCTCTGAAACGGTCTGTAGTGTAGCTGAGTGTGTGCCCAGGTTCCTGCTGTGCCTTGCATCAAGGATCCCATTCCTTTCCCTGCATGGTCTCTGAGGGCTGGGGTGTCTCAGGAGATGTGTCAGCATTCAATACCTTCCTCCCTACTTCTTGTCAATCCTAAACATGGGTGGGCTATGAGGAAAACGTTTTGCATGGCTGCTTACATTTGGTTTCCTGACTCAAGCTTCTTTTCTGTGTTCGCAGCATCACCAGATAATCCAGCAGTACATGGTGACCCTGGAGAACCTGCTTTTTACTGCCGAGTTAGACCCTCACATCCTGGCTGTATTTCAGCAGTTCTGTGCTCTACAGGCCTAACAGTCATGTATCTTCCCTTGTTATCTTGAAATAACTTGTCTTACTTTTGATGGTTTGAATGTTTGCTTTCTTGTAGTAGCGAGGAGTATAACATTACCCTTTGTTGCCCTTAAGAGCAGGTGTTGCTTGATGGCAGCGATGTTAGAATGTTATGGTGACCGTAGCGTTGTACATACAAGAGACACAACTTTCCTGTGATGAATTTGGTACTCTTTCTCCTTAGGGAACAAAACAGCAGGTTTGAGGTGTATGAAATGCAAGGCCAGACTTGCAAAAGTAACAGATACAACCAGGGAGCCTAGCTTTTCTCTGCTCCTGGGTAACATGGCTGGAATAAACTGAAGTTATGTTTTTTAAACTTTGGTATTTCATGATTTATTACCTTAGTCTCTTTTCTTACTGAAAACCTCTATCTGAAGCTATTTCTTGCAAATGTTTTTAAGTAGCCATCTTATGACACTACTTGTTAGTATAGAAAATTATTAGAACCAACTCCCAAATGTATCTAATCAGAAGCCACCCGGGAATCTTGAGTTACTTTCAGCTGTGATCTCGAGGTACAGTGGAGATGGCTACAGTTTTTCTACCTCTCAGGTGACTGCACGTTTGGCAGCCATTGTTGAAAAGCATCTGGCCATGCCCTGCACCTCCAAGAAGGATTTGCCCAAGATCCCACAATGTCACAAACTGATGTGCAGCAGGCAATAAATGAGCCGAGATGGACGTGGAATTCAGTGTGGCTTGGGGCAGATAATTGATCCCTGAGCCTATTGAGGCTTAAGTGAAATGAGTGTGTTTTGTAAAATAATGCATTATCTGACATTCCAAATTCCTGGGATTTTTACACTTCTCATTAAACCTTAGAAAAATCTGCTAATAATGATACAGTTACTGGTTTCTGTGCATTTGTTATCTTTTTGTACATGCTACATGCTAGTAAGTATGCATTACAATTATCTGCTTGGATATATGGGTCTTTAATTACGAGACTATGATTTCTTTATACATGGGATTTCCTAGACCTTTTAAATACCATATTTAAATTAGGAATATTATCTAATCATTTGAATTCAGTAGATCAAAGCTAGATGGCAGGTACTTCAGTAAGACAAAACCCAGATTCTTAGCTAAATATCCTATTTACATTGTTCCTCCTTTCCATTTAACACAGCTCATGCTATAATTGATTTAAAATGGTTCCAGTCCTCCAACAGCCAACCAATTAACTGTTGAAGGCATTGGTAACTGTGTCCTTTCCTGAGGCACAGTGGAGTCCAGTTCTCCTTGCTCTGCTGTTCTCCTTCCTTCTGTGGATCCTCCTGTACGGTGGTTGTTTCTAGAAACTGATAATATGTCCCTGTTCTGTCGGCTGGAAAACTCAACAGAAGGCTAGATCTCACAGAAGAAAAGATCCAAAGCAGAAAGCAGCTGCTGCCTTTCCCACAGACCGAGCGGTGTGTCCCTGCATACCACGCCTCTCAGATTCTGTGAAGTCATGCTGATGCTCTTTAACAGGCTCTTGTCAAGGTAGACATGTTGCTTCATTCCTAAAAGTGAAAGGTGTGAGATGCCTTTGCCAACCTGGGTGATATCTGGACCCCAGGATTAACTTTGATGCAGCCAGAGAACAGATGCATACAGCCAATCAGATCTCACTGTGTTGGCCTTGACAGTAATGTTGGCTGCTACATACTGGGTACAAGAGTCACCATAATCAATCTTTCCAACAGATTTCTGATGACTGTGCTCACTTCACAGACAGAAGCAAACCCCAGGAAAACTTGTCTGAAGTCCACAGCCAGAAAGTTAAATCAATGTACCTGTCTCTGGAGTACCTTATCTCTGCTCAATGCAGTAACACTTAACAGCAGCCTGAACCCCAACATACTCTTGTCATCAGACCACAAACTTCTCTATCTACAAGAAAGTCTGGCTGCCCACCCAGGACCAGTTTTTACTGAGCTGTAATGTTTAGCATAGCACACATTAAATGCCAGCCTTGAAAAACACAGAACATCTACTGAGGGTTTCTAAAGATCAACTAGTAATGATGATCCCATGTTATTTAGGGTTGACTTGTTTTAAGTTTGGCCTTTCTACAAATATAATGTGTAAGGTGAGCTGTACAAGCCCACACAGTACACACTGTTAGGAAAGTCTTCTGTCCTCAAAGCAGCTTTTGACCTCAGCTAGTTCTACTTGAGCTACATTGTAGAGAAATTTGTATGTTATTCTTTTCCTTTGCTTGGGGTTTTTGTTTGTGTTTGTTTTGTTATTTGAGACTCTTTGTAGTCCAGGCTGTCTGGGAACTCACTCTGTAGACCAGGCTGACCTTGAACTCAGAGACTCACCTGCCTCTGCCTCCGGAGTGCTGGGATTAAAGGTGTGCACCACTGACGCCAGCTCTTTTGCTTGGTCTTTTCTTCACATACAATGATTGCTTCTGATAGCTGTTGTTAATGGTACTTTTTGCTACTACTTTTGACAAGACTGAAAAAAAAAACCTGACTAGCTAAACTGATGCAAATGGATATGGAGAAGTAATATTTACAGCTGTCACTTTCCTACCTCACGGTATTAAACAAGCATGGAAACACATTATCACCTCTCCCTGGGTTAGATGAGAACGTACAGGCAGATAAGAGTACGTAAAGCCGGGCGGTGGTGGCACACGCCTTTAATCCCAGCACTAGGGAGGCAGAGACAGGCGGATCTCTGTGAGTTCGAGGCCAGGCTGGACCAACAACCACCAAAACAATACAGAGAAACCCTGTCTCGTAAAACCAAAAAAAAAAAAAAAAGTACGTAAGTGTAAGTTCAGTGCTTTGGATGAAATAGTCGACACTCAGCTTTGAAAGTAGCCTTTTTCCTTTTTGAACCCAGAATTTCCAAATTGCCTCATAAGGTTTTGAAAAATGGGGCTTGGGCATAGACTCCGGAGTTCATTGTTGGCTCCTGCTGTGACAGGGTACTTGTTTCTGTAGTGACATTCACTGTTGCCACTGCTGAAGACTTCATGGCAGTCTACATCAGACCTGCTGGCTTCTTGAGCAAGTTCAGTTCCATCAACCTCACCCTGAAAGAGCTTCCTCCTGTGCCAGCCTCGCATTTACCTGTGTCCCTCGTTCCCGTGGAGTAGCTCTAACCTGTCACTTATTTGTACTTACTGTGTGCACAGGTATGTACAGGTACACATGGGTACCTTCTTTCTTTAAGCATATCCATCACCAGAGGGTTTTTCTTTAGTTAGTAAAGGAAATGGCCTGCCACTTTTGAATATTACTGTACCCCTGGACTCCCACAAATGTGACACCATGCCCTCAGCCAGACCTCAAGCACAGTCATTTCGTAAGTGTTGTTTCTATGGAGACCACACTGGGTACAACTGAACAGAGCCTTTATTTGAATATAAATTTGCTTTTAAAAGTCACATTTTCTCATATGTCAGTTCATGGCCACACAAGGTACAAGTCTTGCGGTACATGTCATCTTCCAAGTTTTCCTCTGGTCCATACTCATGTTGGTGAGCGGCCGTTTCTCTTTTCCACACACTGCTTCTTACTGCTCGCCGCAATTCTAAGGGGGGAAACAAACCAATGAGGCTTTCATCGCTATTTGAGTACGTAATGTATATAATGGTTTCCTTTGATGCCAACAGTTGCTTAAACAAGCTCGTCAAGCCTCCATCTCTGCAGTTGCTCATTTCATGATCAAGCCATGTGAGCTCACAGAAGCGGCTGAGTGGGTAGTTAAAAAAAACAACAGAATGGGATGTGGGGGCATCTGACAGAAACCAGGGTGCCAGAGCAGCAAGTTCAGCTGAGGTAAGCAAAGAACCAGACTGGCTCAGATCCCAAGGTTCTCAGTCAGGAGCTCCTGTCAGTCAGTCTCTGCTTACAAGAAAACTAGAAAGCCAAGACTACTAGTGTATGCTGTGTTTCCATCGTAGAAAAGCGGCTGTGCAGTGGCCTCATGTCTATTTTATAAAATGACAGCACTGTTTTAGCGTTTTGTTTTGTTAGGATAGTCTCGTGTGGACCCAGGCTGGCCTCATACTCTATAGCCTATGGCCACTCTCAACTATTCAGGCATCTGGTTTGTGTGGTGCTGCGATTGGGCCCAGGCTTTGTGCGTGCTACACAAGCGCTCTGTCAACTGTGCTATATTCCCATTCCAACACCATGGTTTCTAAAAATAAATTGCCCGGGGCTGCAGAGGTGGCTCAGTGGTTAGGAGCGTATACTGTTCTTCCAGAGGACTTGCAGTCACTCGTAGCACCCGTGTCAATTGGCTTACAACAAATGACTGCAGATTTCGGGGTTGCTCATTCTCCTTCAGATATTTTGTTGTAAGGAATATCAAAGCACTACTCGAATCTTTGTTTCCAGTCCTAACATACCTTGGGCAAAGCAAGACAGTCATATACTGGACACTGGGCTAAGTACTCAAGATGCATTATGATTTTTCCTGAGTCTCTACAAAGCTCTCTGCTACCTGAGTGAGTCCGTGTGCCTCCTGACTGCAGAGGGGCAGCAGGCAGCTCCAGTGTGGGCTGGCTGGGGAATGTACCCTGCCACTCTCCTTGATTTCCCCACTGCAAAAATCCCTCAAAGTCGGGCTGCAGTACAACCAAACTGAGCTACTTCTCTGCCAAATTTGAATGTTGTATGTACTTGGCGAAGAGGTGACAAGAATCGTTTCCTTCTCAAACACATTGCACATGAAAACCTAGCTTCGCGGCCGTGACTGAACACTGGCATTTTCTTTCTCGCTGCGTGAAGTCTGTGAAGCTGACTAACGACAGGAAAACTAACGGCAGGGTCTGCAGTGCTTCCGTAGAATGTCTGGCAGACGTGGAAGCAGAGGCTGGGTACTGTGTATCCAAAACTCTTACTGATGGACCCAAGTCTTAACAAACACATAGCTTGATGTATCTTACATATTTCTAGTATCTGGGCTTGGGTTTTCTTTATTGGCAATGTTTCAGATTTTGAGCACTTTGGATTTTCAGATTAGAGATGTCTAACTTGCTGTAGTTATGTTTGGTCTTTCTTTGCCCTTCTCTCCTTTTCCAAACAAGCAGGCCAAAGCCTACCAACAGGAAGTAGAACATGCACAAGGCTACGGAGCCACCAGGGCAGGAAGTGGGGTGATGGAAGATGTAACACTTCCTTACTATAAGCAGTCAGGTTCTCAGGTACCTCCTACATTTGGAGGATTAAAACGGGGTCTATCAGTATGCACTTGGGGGTTTTATACACACAGACTGACACACATGCTTCATGCATGTCCAGCTTATCAAGGGGATAAACAGCAGGCAGCCCATGTATAAGATCTCCACGAGACTGAATCTGAGACAGTCTGAACTCCAAGTTAAAGGCAAATGAGCAAACAACCCTGGAGAAATCGAGAGTCCTTACCAAAAATAACCCTGTAGAGTGCTAATTGATGTTACTAGTGCTAGAGCTAGGAAGCTGTCCTCAGAACCTCTTCAGCACAGTTCCAGCAACGCCGCCCTGGACAGCTGCTCAACTGGAGGTGGGAGGGGTGGTTATTTCCACAGTCTACTTCTTTTTGTTTATTGGATAAAGATCAAATTATTACCGCTGAGGGCAGATGGGCACTGTGTACCTTCCAGATGTAAGGCCCTGGAAAAGGGAGCATCTGCCTGAGACTCTTAGCTTGTACTTCTGCGTTAGCAGAAAACCCACCAAAGTGAAAAGGCATTGCTGATGGGAAGTCCTGTGCATTTGTTAATAAAGCACTGTTGAGCCAATAGGAATCTAGATAGGTGGGACTAGGAGTCCAGGAGGATTCTGGGAAGGAGAAACACAAGAGAGTTGAGAAGTAACGCCATAGGGTAGGAAGCCCGGAAACGTCTCTGGTAAGAAATACATAGATTAACAATTATAGGGTAATTACTTAAGTCAGAGCTAGCCAGTAAGAAGCAAGCAAGGCCAACAGCTTCATAATTAATACAGCCTCCTGTGTGTTTATTTGGGACTGATGCGGCTCTAGAACCAGGCTGGCGGGAAGGCTCCTCTCAAGGAAAAAGCTTCTCTTTACACATTGCTTCTCAGAACAGTGGGATAAGGGAACACACTTCACAATGTCCATGGCATAAGAGGCAAGGGCAGTGAAAATCAGGACAGGTTAGGAAGGAAGACCTGTTTAGTGCCTAAAACATTAGTCTACACCAAGTTCATTCAGAAGAGAAACACTAAAATAGTGTTCAGTGACAGAAGTAGAACACAGCAGTTTAGATTAAATACTACATTTGCTGATGCCATACTAGTGAAAATATGTGCTAGGAAATGAAGCATATACAGGTAGTGATTACGCAACATACTCTTAAGTGGTTCAGAAAGTGTTTAGTGAGAGCATGAACATGATGGCAACATGACAACAGCTCAGTCTGGGGAAGGCGTGTGTGTGAGTGTGTATGTGTGAGTGTGTGATCCTCAGTTCCCTTATCCTAGTGATTTTCTGTAAGTCTGAAATTCTTTCCAAGTAAAAGGGGCTTTAGGAAAAGACAGGAACCAACTTAAAGGAGACTCCACTGGCCAAACCGGAAACAATCTGAGCATCAAAATGAAGAGTAACAGGAGCCTGCACTACCATGATCTGAGTCAGTCAAAAGGATGCTTTGCAAAACAAAACCAAAGGGTCAGACACAGTAGCACACGCCTTTAGTCTCAGCACCCGGCAGGCAGAGGCAAGTCAGCCAGAGCTATGTAGTGAGTTTCTATCCCAAAACAGGCACAGTGATGGGTATCTGTAATTCCAGCAGCTGAGAAGCAGGAGGATTGCTACAAGTTCAAATCCTCTCTCGGCTACATGAACCTTGTCTCAAGAAAACAAGAGCAGAACCCAAGGAAAAGCTGTTTGAAAAGAAGACGACCTGTTTACATGCACATACAAACTAGCTCAGCTAAGACTCATTTCCACATATAAAACACTGAGTAAACGGTGCTGTACCCACAGTGTCATGTGTAGTTACAGAAAGTAGTACTTCAGTGGAGAATAATGACTGTCACACTGCCCCACCCCCACCCCAAAAATGGCAGGTCTCACGTGTCCTTTGTCTCCTAGAAAGTATTCCTCCCGCAGACGCAATGCTGAGCAGTCCAGGGGCAAAAGAGAAGGGCTGAGGGGTGACATTACAGGTGCCACCCCAGGGGCTCCTGGATCTAACAAATGGAACAACAGATGGGAAACATGTATTGCACACTTGCTTTTAATTTTCTAGTTATGATGAGATTTTAGCTAAGCTTTCAGATCTGTAAGAATCGTAACCCATGGCTTAGCAAGCTGTATGCAAAGTCAGGAGCGGCCAGGCATCAGCACTTGGAAACGATGTGTGCGCACGCTGCCGCGATGAGGCACAGGTGTGGAGGTCAGAGGACAACTTGGCAGGAAGGAGTTCTCCTCTTACCAGATGGGCTCTGGGACCCAAACTCAGGATTGGCGGCGAGCACATTTATCCACAGAGCCATTTCTAAGGGAAGGGCTATGGGTTTCACGACCCTCATGAAAGTAGCAACCAGCTGTCTTTTGTTGGCTCCTGAGATAAAGGCTAGTGCACACAAAAGCAGGGGCAGGTCTAGCATACCTCAGGAAGGAATCCGGCTGCATGTGCCGCACAAAACGGGGCCTGAGAGTGGCTGGAGCCCCAAATGGTGAGTGGCTGGCCATGCTGCAGCCTCGGAGTCCTACGGCAGTAGACAGCTGATGCTTAGAGGCTGCCTCTCCCAGAAATGACTAACCAGCCTTACTACTGAGAGCCCCAGAAACTGCTTAGGATATTCACCCAAAGAGATTTCCCAAAATGCTTGTGAAAAGTCAATACCACTTCAACGCTTCTTTTTAGTTGCTATACTTTGCAAAGCAGGCTGTCTGCAGTCAAAGCAACTCTGTGCTGCTTCTGAGAAAGTATACAAAAGTGAGGGACACCCAACACTTGTACATGCCGGGCCGGAGGGCAGGTATCCTCGTTACTGGAGGAAAAACATTACAAGTTTGTGTTCCATGAGCTAAATAGGATGCAGTTGTACCCCTCAAACTCCTCAGAAGCTCCATGACAGTCACAAACACCCACAGGCCAGTGCGCATGTCCACCCACAAACTCGGAAGGGCCCTCTAGTTGGGACGTCCTTACCTGCCATTTGCAGGGGTGGGGGCCATGACAGTAACGATGAAGGTTAGCTGACTGGCCTTTCAGAAGGAAAACTGCTGGAACTAAGCATGCAACATGGGAAAACACCATAGTCCCACCTCAGTTAAGGCAAAAAAGCTGCAGACCAAGACCGTTCTGTGTGTCACACCAATTCAGGGTTCTTGTCTGCTACTGGGCGATGCACCCTTCGGAAACCCAGTTACGCTGAGCAGCAGCAAGCCTGCGTTTGGCTCCGGCTCAGAGACGTGGAACTTTGTATGTACTTGGGGTATTCGCACTTGTTCTGCAGCAAACTCAGTGCTCTAACTGCTAGCACAAACATGTTAAAAGCAGGCAAATGAGTGGTTAAGAGCACTGGCTGCTCTTCCAGAGGTCCTGGGTTCAATTCCCAGCAACCACATGGTGGCTCACAACCATCTGTAATGAGATCTGGCTCCCTCTTCTGGCCTGCATGCAGGCATGTAGACAACATCGTATACATAATTAAAAAAAAAAAAAAAGCAGGCAAATGGAATTGCTTACCTTCCCATAAAGAAGAAAGCTTTGTGTCAGCTCCGCTGTGCATCAAGAGGAACCATGTTCCAATTTCTTTCCAACTAAAAAGCCTTTAGACTTGCTTAGATCCTCTCTGTTCTGAGCAAACTGCGCAATCAGCTCCTCGTTTCTAGTCTACAGTCTACTCCACTCAGCCCTCTGCGGGCTGGCCAGGACAGGGACAGATCCACCAAGCACTGGAGCGAATCAACAAGAAGCCACAATTAAAGAAGGCATCACACTGACCTCCGCACACTCAACACCTCGAGGTAATGAGGTGACACCGGCTGCCCAGAGCTCAGTCGTACGCAAAGGGGAAATGGTGGGCACTCTGATCTGCAAGCGCGTGGAGAACATGCTCATGCAAACATTTCCTTAAAAACATGCTTCACCCAAACAAGAAATGAACCCAAATAAAAACATCTGTCAACTACAACTGAGGAATAAGGAAATCTATGGTAGTTTGTCTGGCAAACTAATACAGTAACCAAAGATAGTAACCAAAGAGTACACCAATTGAGTGCATGTTTTGGAAATTGTAGGAAATTTCTATCTGTATTAAAATATGTACATATATACATATACATTGATAGAATCTTCACATTAAAAAAGCAAGAAATTAAGTGTACCTCATAGTCTTTTACTAGTCAAATTGTAGGAATTTAGTTACCATTACGTGACATCCTGACCAGACCACAGAATTAGTGTCTAAGGAAAAGTTATGGATAGCATTCATGACTTTGCAGACACAAATTTCTAATTGACACTTATTCTTTTATCCATAGTTCATTGTCTGCACCAAGTACCATCTGAGATTCGCCGAAGGGCCAGATTGATTTCTAGTAGCTGGATTAAAAGCCTGGACTGGGCTGGGGAGATGGCTTGCACTCCAGTGATTGGAGAATCCACCAGCTTAGTGGGTAAGAGTGCCAGAATGAGAGACGGCGTTGAATTCCCCAGCACCACATAAGAACAGTGGAGCACAGCTGACTGTAACCTTGGCACTGGGGGTGGGAGAGGCGAATAGGACAGGAGGGTCCTGGGTACTGAGAGCTCACTGGCCTGCCAGCCTAGCCAGTGCCTGCTTTAGGTTCAGTGAGGAGACCCTGTCACAAAGGTAGTGAGATGGCCTCTAGCTTCCAAATGCACATGCACTGGTGTGCACTGCACACATGTGTGCGTGTGCATACACACTCACACACACACACACACACACACACACACACACACCCTGAGCTAGCAAATGACTAACCCAGAGGCCTCCTTCCACGCCTTCCTTAACCCACCTCTTCTCTCTGTATGTATTGCCCTGCCCTGCTGAGAGGCGGGCAGGTACAAACCACAGAGAAGATAGGGAAAAGGCCCGTGTAAGAGGAGTAACTCTTCTCATGGGTCTTCGCTGGCATGAATGCAGGCTTGCGCTGCTTGCACTTGCTTTCTGTTTGGGTTTCTCATTCGGTTGGTTGGTTAGTTGATCAGTTAGCTTTTTGTTATTGTCCAGTTGGTTTGGGGGTCAGGTTTTGTCTGGGTTTTTGGTTTTGTTTTTTTTTGTTGTTGTTGTTTTTGTTTTTGTTTTGTTTTGTTTTGTTTGGTTTTACGAGACAGGGTTTCTCTGTATTGTTTTGGAGGCTATCGGTCCAGCCCAGCCTCGAACTCACAGAGATCTGCCTGCCTCTGCCTCCCGAGTGCTGGGATTAAAGGCATGCGCCACCACCGCCCGGCTTAAAATGTGTAGCCCAGGCTGGCCTCGAACTCGTGATCCTCCTGCCTCTGCCTCCTTCAGCAAATCCTACCAGCGTGCGCCACCACAACCGGCGGTTTTGTTTTTTGAGCCAAGGACTCTAAAGCCCACACTAGCCTCCACCTCACAATCCTCCTGCCGCAGCCTCCTGAGTACTAGGATTACAAACATGTACCACCACTCCCCTTTACTTTTACAACATTCAGCCTGTAAAACCTCTTCTAAACTTTAAAATCATAAGAAAAATTGGCATACTGATTTGAAATGGATCAAGTAAATATATAACCAAACCTATATGCGGGATGCATGTTTCCTAGACACAGTGTGCACCACACGGGGTCTCTACATGAAGGACATGTGTTGTTACTTCCTGAAGTCCCCTCTTTGGGGATGGTGCTTACAGCCCTGAGCTCCTGCCACACCCTGGGTTCATCTCTGGTGTGGTGCCAAACCCAGCACACACTATTACTGTGTCAAGCTTCTGTCCTGACAATCCAGCACAGTGCTTGGCACATGGTAAACACTAGATGTGCATGGATGGACAGACTTGTGACAACATTCACACATGGATACACATGTGGATAACGGGTGCAGACACAGATCCGTTAGGGGTGGAATGCCGTGTAGACAGATACATGGAGGAGTGACTGCACACAGATCCGTTAGGGGTGGAATGCCGTGTAGACAGATACATGGAGGAGTGACTGCACACAGATCCGTTAGGGGTGGAATGCTGCGTAGACAGATACATGGAGGAGTAACTGCACATGGGGAAGACTCAGAAAGAACCTGACAATTGTCCAGCATATGCACCGATCTGCTCTTCTTCCTGGGCATTTCTTTAAATATTTAAATAACGAAGCCTAGGATAACTAATACCAGTTATTGCTTCTAACTACTAAATCCAATGACTATTTAGCTCTTGGCTTTTGTTCCAAGCAATGAGAGAGTTGGTGGCTACTGAGTCTTGTTATTTTTTTAATGTGTTCTTAAACACTTCAGGCCACACAAGACCTAACCGATGCCTCATACCGCCCCTCCCGCCACCCCATCCCGCCCCCTCCCGCCACCCCCATCCTGCCGCCACAGCTGCACAAAATGGCTCACATGAAGACATTGCCTTTAGAAATGTAGTACTGTGTGGTTTGAACCAAGTCTCACACACCAACCCATTGAGGCCAACGTTCAAGCCCATTTTTCTCCCTTCTGACAAAGACATCCCAGTGTAGTCTCCAGACAGGAAGGGCCACAGAGCCTTTCTCTGTGGTGAGTGAGTGACAGGAAATCCCACTTACCCTTCACTTTTTTATCAAACTTCTTCTGCTTCATTTTCTCCCGGTTTTCCTGCCTCACTCCCTTTGCCTCTTCCAGCGCGTCCTGGCTTCCCCAAACTTCCAGAGCCCGCTTCACAACCTACAGCACAGGCCACACTCGAGTTACCTGGGGCGCGCGGGGGGGGCACGGTACAAAGTCCTAACTCCCGCTCTCGCAGATGCCATTACGTCACACTAGGAACAAGACCATGGGATTTAGCACTTGAAGAATTCCCTTGAAGTCCCAACTCTTCCACAGAGTTGAATGCAACTAAAGAAGCATAAATGAAGAAAAGCCTCACTGAGAAAGAAAATGTAAAGTCCAACCACAAGGTCAAGAGGGGCAGGAAATCCAGGAGTCGTGTTTCCTCCTGTGCGCATGAGCACAGTGCTTGGGACCAAACGAGACAACCAGCACAAAGCAAGCGATGAGAAACCCGGCTGCCTTAATTAGCACCATTTACTTATTTTGAATGCTACCTCATCCAGATGGTGAAATTTTAAGTCAATAATCATATAATGTTTCACAATGTGGCTTAATTCTATTTATAGATGAATATAATATTGAATTAGCTAATTATACTAAATATACATATATATTTATATCTAGTTATACCTAAATGTATAATTATATAATAGATGTATAATTATATACAAGTATATAATTATCTAACAATACTAGAATATCTTCTAGTATATTCCTGTATAAACAACTCTAAAGCCATGTCTCTTCATACTTTCATATAATAGAACAAAAATTCTAATATCTAAGCCATCCTGGAGTAGATACGGGAGGACACTTGGACTCTAGGCAACAGGCTGGGCACAAGAGCACACCAATGACTGGGTCTCTGCCATGGAACACATCACGGGGCATCAGGAACATTCCAGAATGTATTTCCCAATACAGTTAGGCTTCAGATAATTGTGAAATAACTGCAATGCTATTCATCTTAAGAGCCTTTCTTGAGCCAGGTGATGGTGGTGCACGCCTTTGATCCCAGCACTTGGGAGGCAGAGGCAGGCAGATCTCTGTGAGTTCCAGGCCAGCCTGGTCTACAAAGTGAGTTCCAGGACAGCCTCCAAAGCCACAGAGACACCCTGTCTCGAAAAACCAAAAAAACAAAACAAAACAAAACACTGTGCTCTAGCGGTCATTAGTTGTGACTGGGACGGCCATGTGAACCAAGAAAAGGATATTCTTTACTGTGTGCGCAGACCATGGTTAGTAATAACTAGTCGATTCTGCCGAAGTTCACCTAAGGTTGACACCCCAGTTCAGCTTATTAGAGACCTGTAACTTTAAGTAGAGCTTCATATCACCCCATTGTGAGTGACGAGGGTTCTTCTTCACGATAAACCTAAGCGCGGGCTCTCTCTTCTCTAAATCGCAGTCTTTCAGAAGGTATTCCTGCTTGGCTTCTGTTTTGGTTATCAGCTTGTGTTTGTCATCAGCATCTCTAGAAAAGAGCATCATATAAACAATTTTAATTAAACTGAGGCAACTGAGGACCTGCAGCTGTGGTGAAAACATATATATGAAATGAAAAACCATTTTAACAGTTTTGAGCAAAATTCTCTAGTGCAGTGGTTCTCAACCTCCCTAACACTGCACCCTTAATACAGCTGCCTCGTGCTGTGGCGATTCCAATCATAAAATTATTGTCGCTGCTTCATAACTAATTTTGTTACTGTTATGACTTGTAAAATCTGTGTTTTCTGATGGCCTTAGGCCCACAGGTGAGAACCACTGCTCTAGAGAGGAGACTCAGGAGCACGGGAGGAGGTGGAGACAGAGACCAGGTAGAAGACCGCAGCTTGCAGGGCTGCGGCGGAAGACCGCAAACTCAGCAGCCTGGACAGCTCAGCCTGAGTCTAGGAATGGGCTGAGGCCGTGGCTTGGTAGCTGGGTTGCCTAGAATGCTTCTGTCTCTAGCACCACAAAAACAAACAGCAGTTTTAAAGTTGGAAACAAGCACCTGCAGTTGTCACATGTTGGCAAATCAAAGTGGTTCATAAGATAGGAGTCCATGAATTCTTTCCCACATTCTTCACAAATTGCATAATCAAACTCCATGACGGGCCCTGCAGGGAGAAGGGAAGGGATTCTTTATCCTTTTGAAGGATTAAACAATACATCCTTTCCTCTATCTTGCTAGCCTAGGAGGAAAAAACACTGGCTAATCTTGGGCTTATAGAAAACAATTTTCTAAGAGGGAAAAAAAGAAAAAGGAGGGAGGGGCGCTAGTAACTCACCAAGTCCTGCACCAACCACGGACACGCTGCATTGCTTACGCTGCCGCAGAAAGGAGCCTGTGTGCTGGCCTAAAGCAGGAGTTTGTGTGTGGGGAGTCATGGAGCTGGCCTGGCCCAGCTGCCTTGAGAGGCAGGGTTTCAGGTTAGAGTCTGTGACTCCTGGGGCACTGTGTGCCTATCAGTCCCTGAGTAACTGGGGCACTTGCTGAGGCAGTGAAGCCTTTACGCCGCCTGTGTATCTATTTCCTAGAAGTCAGTGAAGCATACAGAAGCTTGGCTGAACAATTACTCTTAGACATTCACCTGGTGTACCCTGTATAGCTTGCAAATATCAGAGTATCCAGGCAATTGTCGTTATATTCTGCTTCTGATAAGGGATTAAGAAGTGTCTGCCTCCAAAGCCACAGAGAAACCCTGTCTCGAAAAACCAAAAAAAAAAGAAGTGTCTGAGTGCTTGGAATTAACCTGTCTCAGCCTCAGTCCTGTTGGGACCCCTCCATCCCAGCCTGGTTAAGATTCACTTCTCATTGGCCATATCAGGTAACCTTGGCCCAGTAAGTGCTGGCACTTCCATCTGTCACCTCACCAGTCTGAGGTTTGGCAGCCCAGTGAGGCCCAGTGGGTCAAATTCAAGTACTCGTCAGGGCTGTGGAAACTTCTAGAGACTGCCCATAGTCCTGCCCACCTCCCATCTTCAAGACCAGGAACAGCTTCCCACATCCATCCCTGGCTTCCTTTGCAAGCCCCGCCCCTCAGGAATCTCTGATACATGGGGCTCCCTGGGATAACAGTGATCTTCCCATTCCAAGGTCTTTAGCTTAACCCTGCCTACAAAGTCTATGTAAAGTATAATACAGACTCCAGGCAATTAGAAAATGGACATCTTTGGGAGCCTTTGTTCTACCAGTTATGGTACTGTGGACAGTATGAGGAAGACTGGCCCTAGGACTGGGGGAAGGCATCTCCTCGCAGAGAGAAGGAGAGGCCACCAACCCATCGAGCAGTTAAAGCAACAGAGAGTAAGGCACATCAGGAGTCAATACCAAGTTCCCTCAGCACAGACTTTTCTTTCATTCCTCCCTGTCACAAGGCGAACACCTCCACTGTATCGTGTCACCTCCTGGGTTAGAACCCTGAGGGAGAGCCACTGCCCTGCACCCTCAGCACCCAACACAGAACTGCCCCTGGGGTGACGCTGGGCTCCCTACAGATGTCAACGCCCAGCTAAGGGCCTTATGGTCCTCAGGCAAGTAAGCCCCCCTGGAAAGTCCTAGGATGACTGCCATTGCCCGGCCCCATCCCTGAGGACTGCCACAGTGGGAGACACACCCCTGGCACTGCCCTCCTTAGACGTCTGTCTAGATCCCATCACCACATAAGTTCACTAATCTCCAATGGTTCTGCTAATGTTACAAACAAAATCCTCTTCAAAGTCAATCCAAAGACATCCTGAGCTAAGAGAGAAAATGAACCATTTACATGCTGAAACTGACAAGAAACCTCTATCTAGAATGTATATAGTTTCATATCAGCATTAAAGGATAGTTTAATTTAAAATTACACAGAAGTTTTGAATAAATATTGCTTCAAATTTAAAATGGGCAACAAATACTTAAAAGGATGTTCAATACCATTAGCATCTAGTATACACAATTCCACCCTGAAGCCCTAAAGTATGCTATTGATTCCCATGGGATAATATGACCAGAGACCAATAAGATAACTGTCACCAGAATGCTGAAAAGTCAGTCCTTTCCTATATCACTGATGAGAGTCTGAAACTATGAATCTACCTAGTCTTGTAGTGCTTCATAAAATTAAACTTCATATGTTAGCATATTTGTTCTACCATGAAAAGCATATATAAGTTATAACTGTAAACTGATAAATATATATACATATACATAGTTGTATCCCCCCCCCCCCCCGTTTTTGAAAACAGATTCTTTTACAATAAATTCTGATTACAGTTGCCCCTCCCTCTACTCCTTCCAGTCCCTCCCTTACCTCCCCCCGGGCTCTGACTTTTTAATCTACCACCAATCTTCTTTTATGGAAAACCATGCTTTACCTGGTTCATGAACCACATTTCCAATCTTGTGTTCCTCTTCTTCCTCCTCTTCTAAAATGAAGCCTCCTTTGGTGTCAATCATTTTGGGAGGGGCTTTTACACTGGTCATGCCTACAGAAAGCAGATAAAGGCAGTCATCAGCTGAGCCAGGCAAGCCTGTGTGTTCCTCTGTAGGTAGACAGGAAAAGGAGAACCGTGTCACCACTTCTAGTCAAGGCATCCAAAAGGTCCCAGCTGGTGGCATATGGCAAGAAAACCAAACAAGACAAGGCAAAAAAGACTAAGAGTTAGAAGTAAAATGGTATTTCCTCCCAGATGACATGAGCATGTATGTCAAACAAGAACCTGCTGTTCCAACCAAAGGACAACCTCCTGAGGCCTCCACACTGACCGCAGGACACAGCAGAAACCAAGACAACCCAGAACCCTGGGAGGCATCTGATGGAACTCACGTGACTGTAGAGTAGGAAATGGGGCCTTCAAATACTATCACTCCTACGGCTACAACACATTCAAGCCAAAGCCCAGATAGGTCTCAACGAACTCCCAACACATCTGAGGGTTAGCTCCTCCAATCACAGGCAGGACAAACCACTCAGCACTATTCAATAGACACCTACACCCCTAACCATCCTAGAAGAATCCCAATGATGAGAGCTTCCTTCCCTGTCATACTCCAGCCCCAAATGCCTACCTTCCAAAGACCTACACAGATATACCTCATAAACCACATTCTATATATAGTTTAGCCACAGTAAACCACCAGTTTGGGGACAGTGGAAACACACCAGAATCCAAGTTTTTAGATAGCAGCAAGGGCCAAGCCTTTAGCAGATCTAAGGGCAGCGGGCTCCAGGCCTACTGTTCACCCCTTCTGCACAGGTTGGAAAGGTGGGGGAGGGAGGGAAGGGCCTCTAACAGAAAGTACAGTGGCAATACCTGATATTTACCTAATATATACTTCGATGGTTCTACACTAGACACTTGTCAAAAACTCACTTTAGGAGTTTTTTTTAACCAGAACTAAAAGTGAGCAGACAGGAGAAGGCTGGCTGGAGAAGTACCTATTTAAGAAACACCTTAAGAAAGACAAACAAGACCTTTCCTCCAGTATTCCTGATGGAAGCAGATGCAGAGATCCACAGCCAAGCACTGGACCGAGCTTCGGGAGTGAGCTGAAGAGAGGGTGGAGGGACTACATAAGCAAGGGGTTAAGGTCATGATGGGGAAACCCACAGACAGCTCACCTGAGCTTGTGGGAGCTCATGGACTCTGGACAGACAGCCAGGGAGCAGGCATGGGACCGACCAAGGCCCTCTGCATGTGGGTGAAGGTGTGCAGCTTGGTCTTTTATGGAGACCCTAGCAATGGGACCAGGACCCATCCCTGAGGCATGAGTTGGCTCTTAGGAACCTACTCCCTATGGTGGGAGGCCTTGCTCAGCCTTGCTGCAGAGTGATGTGCCATGCTTTGCGGATTCCCATGGAGGTCTGTCCCATCTGAATGCAGACAGAAGAGGAGTGGGGGGGGGGATAGAAGGGAAGTGGGGGATGGGAGGGAAGAAGGGGGAAAACTGAGGTTGGCATGTAAAATAAATTAAAAATGATGATAAAAAAAGATTTTTTTTTTTTGGTTTTTCGAGACAGGGTTTCTCTGTGGCTTTGGAGGCTGTCCTGGAACTCGCTCTGTAGACCAGGCTGGCCTCGAACTCACAGAGATCCGCCTGCCTCTGCCTCCGGAGTGCTGGGATTAATGGCGTGCGCCACCAACGCCCGACTAAAAGAAAGATATTTTAAAAAAGGAGCACCTTGAGGAGTTAGTGGCAGAAGCAGGAAGAGAAATGATTCCCTGTGACAGCAAACAACAAACCACATGGAAAGATTTCCAAGCCTGTAACAGAGTTAAAATTCACAGCCTGTAACCCCTCAAGACAGAGAACTCTTGCAAAGCAAGAACACTCACCAGGTGGACTGAACAACCTTGCTAATCTTAAACTACCTTTCTTTCTTTTTTGTTTTTAACTTTGTAAATTTAAATTAGAAACAAGCTTGTTTTACAGGTCAATCCCAGTTCCCTCTCCCTCTCCTCCTCCCCTGCTCCCCACTGACCCCCTATCCCATCCCCTTTCTGCTCCCCAGGGAGGGTGAGGCCTTCCATGGGGGATCTTCAAAGTCTGTCATATCACTTGGAGCAAGGCCTAGACCCTCCCCCATGTGTCTAGGCTGAAAGAGTATCCCTTTATGTGGAATGGGCTCCCAAAGTTCATTCATGTACTAGGGATAAATACTGATCCACTACCAGAGGCCCCATAGATTAACCAGACCTCCAAACTGACATCCTTGTTCAGAGGGTCTGGAACAGTCCTATGCTGGTTCCCCAGCTATCAGTCTGGGGTCCACAAACTTCCCCTTGTTCAGGTCAGCTGTTTCTGTGGGTTTCTCCAGCCTGGTCTTGACCCCTTTGCTCATCACTCCTCCCTCTCTACAACTGGATTCCAGGAGTTCAGTTCAGTGCTTAGCTGTGGGTCTCTGCTTCTGCTTCCATCAGCTACTGAATGAAGGCTCTAGGATGGCTTATAAGGTAGTCATCAATCTCATTATCGGAGAAGGGCATTTAAGGTAGCCTCTTCAGTATTGCTTAGATTGTTAGTTGGGATCAACCTTGTAGATCTCTGAACATTTCCCTTTATTTCTCTTTAAACCTGTAGTGGCTCCCTCTATTATGGTATCTCTTTTTTTGCTCTCCTCTATTCTTCCCGACTCAATCTTCCTGCTCTCTCCCGTCCTTCTCTCCCCTCCTCTTCCTCCTAGCTCCCTCTCCTCTCCCCTCCCCCCATGCTCCCAATTCTCTCAGGAGATCTTGTCCCTTTCCCCTTCTCCGGGGGACCATGTCTGTCTCTCTTAGGGTCCTCCTTGTTAAACCACCTTTCTTTTTCAACACGAGAGTGAACCCAGGTCTTGAGCATGCCGAGCGAGCACGCCACCACTGAACATCCACAGCCTTCTTTGTTAATGCTGAGTCAGCACCGCCTCACTAACTTGCTCAGGCTGACTTCCCATTCTAACCCAGGCTGGCCTTGAACAAGACCCTCTAGTCTCAGCCTCCCCGCAGCTGTGGTTACAGACCTGTGACACCAGGCCCAGATATCTTATGCCACTTCTAGTTTCCCTGGAGTTCCCGACTCATGTTGGATTGAACTGCACGGTCCCTGTACTTGACTGGTGTATGCACTCACAACAGGCAGGGGAAGGATGTTTCTAAGACACTGATCCACCAGTGTCCGTCTGCACGTGAATAATGAGACATGAGGCTGTGTCAGGTCTTCAGAGATCTGCACTGAGCTGGGCGGTGGTGGTGCACGCCATTAATCCCAGCACTCCGGAGGCAGAGGCAGGTGGATCTCTGTGAGTTCGAGGTCAGCCTGATCTACAGAGCGAGTTCCAGGACAGCCTCCAAAACACAAAACAATACAGAGAAACCCTGGAAAAACTAAAAAAAAAAAAGAAAGAAAGAAAAGAGACCTGCACTATGACCAACAAAAATGGAGATAACTTTTTACATTACAAAATGCTATATAAGGACTTTCAAGTGACTTCGAAGGATCCAAATCTAAGTTAATTTACAATCCAGCTCTGCTGGTCAGAAGCAACAAATCAAATTCAATGGCAACTCGAGAAGCAAGTTTAAAAGTACAAACTGCGTTATTATTCAGTACATATTGCTAAAACAAGTATAGTACACATACAAATACATATAATAATTGAAATTGTGAAACGAGAGAGGAATAAAAAAGTAAATTACTTCTGTAGAAATAATTCGGGTGAATTACTCCCGAGGGCAACGCCAACAGCTGGAAGCACAATTGACATTAAGAACTCAACAGCCGCCGGGCGGTGGTGGCGCACGCCTTTAATCCCAGCACTCGGGAGGCAGAGGCAGGCGGATCTCTATGAGTTAGAGGTCAGCCTGGTCTACAGAGCGAGTTCCAGGACAGCCTCCAAAACACAAAACAATACAGAGAAACCCTGTCTCGAAAAACAAAAAAACAAACAAACAAAAAAAAGAACTCAACAGCCAGGTAGGGCTTACCCTAAGATGGCAAGTACAGCCAAAAATGAATCCAGGAATCCAGGGCCACTTGACCCGTTTTGGTCCTGATTAACCTGAGAAAAATCCCTTTTTCTTTTCTGATCTCAACTGCCAGGGGTAAAACCGGGAGGGGTACCAAGCCCTGCCTCTTCCATTTTCCAAGGGTGGCCGTGAGATTCCAATCGGGTAACTCCTAAGTGAGGGGCACTGCGTGTTACTCAGTGAGGCCCTGGAAGGCAGGATGCATAGAAAAGACTGGGCCAGGGTCGCTTCTGCTGGGGGCTGGATGGGAGAAGGCGCAGCCTTTTTGTTTAAGTGGTTGCAAGGCTGAAAGCTCTGCACCATAGAGGCGCCGGGCAGAAGGCACGACAGGGAGGCATCCGGCAAACCGAGCCCGAGAGGGCACCAAGGGGCAGAGAGATGCGGCCATAAACCCGCGCGCCCGTAAGGGGCCCCCACCTCCGGTGGCCGCCGCCGCGGGGTACGGCCGCGCTGCCAGCCGGGCCTGGCGCAGCATCAGCGCCCGCTGCCGCTTCCGCTCCACGCTCGCGCGTACGGCGGCCGGCAGCTCCGCGGGCTCCGGTGACGTCCGTTTGTCCTCCGCCGTCGCCATCGACACCGCAGTCGCCAGCCTAGTCCGTGGGTTCGCGCACGCGCACTACAAGCGGCTTCTCAGGGAAGCTACAATCCCGACTCCCCACCGACGCCCGGAGCAAAGAAGTGCGCCTGCGCAGTCGAGAAGTGGTGGCGGAAGGGTTGGCGTTGGGCGAAGCAATGCGCCTGCGCAGCCGCAGGGTGCTGGCGGAAGAGATAGTGGTGCCCTTGTAAACTGTTCCCAGTGATGCTGCTGAGGCCATCTTTCTAGATCTTGTGGTCGGCAAATAATAGCTCCGCTTAGTGGTTCAGACTCTGAGGCTTGAACTCGCATTCAGTCGGTCTTAGCTTTGATTCTAAAATCTGGGTAGCCTTAGGCAAATTATTCAACCAAAGCTTCGTTTCTTCAGCAGAAAAGCCATTCTGGC